TTCTCCTTCAAAGTTGATGGCAGACAGGATGCCGATAGTGTCTCGTCAGCTCCACATATTTTGGCGTATGGAGAAAAGTTATTGCGTCTTAAAAATTATTGCTAGCATGCATAAATCACACAACGATGTACAGATAAGAACAACAACAACAGCACACATGTCATGCAGTTGATTTTTGTTAAACGCGAAACGTATTAAGGGTTGTTGTCGTTCATATTGAAAACTGATTAAACACGATAGATAAGCCACCAAGCCAATTAACTCAATTTACACTTAATTATCTGGTGTACAAAAGGTTTACAACTTAGATACATATGTAAATAATTGTTTGACGAGTCATTAATCGACAATGGGACATCTCTAATTAGGTATCACATTGGCACATCTATATTTTCACCACTACCTCCACGGTGAACGTTTTTCGAGGATATGATTATGTGTTTCGGTCCAAGTATAAAATTAAGGGAACTGCCGCCCTCACTCGCTTGAGGCATATGGTGTAAATGAGTTGCATCATGTTAAAATATTTTCATAAAAGTGTTGCTATGTATGGATCCAAATCATGGAACTCAAATTTGTTGAAACATGTTTTTGACTTTAAAATGCGTATTAGTCCCCTTGAGGTATATGTATTAAATCTAGAGTTCAACGCCGTAGAAAATCTCCAATTGGCCTAAGTGTGATACAAAATATAACCATGTCTGAAATGTGATTTGTATGAGTACTACATTTAAAAAACAACCAGGTTAACCTTTGCGGGAACGATTCCAGTCGGAGGTAACTATTCCATCATCGCTTTCGATTTAATATTGCTATCAATTGGGGAGTTTAAAGAACGCCATCATTTTACTCACATCTTGATTGCAATCAACAGGAGAATCAATGGAAATCACAAGTGAAATTATAATATTAAAATACCCCAAAGCATATGCTGGGGTGTGTGGAACAAAATACACTCCAACATTTGAGATAAAAAACTAATAAACCTTTTTTGTACTTTGTCGATCTAGCGATGTCCGTCCGTCCATCTGTCTATCTGGCTGGCAGGTGCGCACAATAACTAACGAAGGGATTGTCCGATTTGGTCCAAATTTGGTACATTACAATATTATTATCAAACTCTCCTTGTGGTAACTCCCCCACAAAAGATCGAAATTTTCAAAAAAAAAAAAAAAAAATATTTTCTGCACAGACAGAGAAAGGATAATCCGATTTTGCTCCAAATTTTCGAGTCCTAATATTTGCATCATGTGCGAAAATGGACAATATCGGTCCACTCCATCAAGTTCCTCCCCCACAAATGGTCATTGCCTTCGAATTACACACATCAGAATATTTTTATTAACTCGATGATTGGTGTGAATATGGGATATATCGGTCCACTCTTTCTGGTACCTCCCCCACAAAGGTTTAAAGTATTGCTCAAATTCAAATGCAAATAAGGAATGAATGAGTTAATTTGTGCACGTGATTTTAAGAACGTATAAAATGTTTGTGCCAAATATTAACAAGTAAAAAAGCTGTAAGTTCGGTCGGGCCGAACTTTGAATGCCCTCCACCATTTGGAAAGCATTTTGCAGTTTTCAAAAAAATAAAAAAAGTCCGTTAAAAATTCTATTAAAATCTTAAAAATACCGAATGAAGCTTTTATATTAACGAAATTTGAAAAAAAAATCTGTGAATAATGTCGCTAAAATCATCAAAATATATCGGGGGGTACCATTATATGGGGGCTATAACAAAACGTGGACCTACATTCCCATTTTCAATACCAAAAGTCCTGCAGACATAATATACATTTGAGTAAAATTTTATCAACCTACTTCATTTCGTTCGGATTCTAGAGTGATTTCCATAGGCGGACGTCCATCCGTCGACATAGAATTTTATGCTGATCAAGAATATATACTTTGTGGGGCTAAATGTATATTTTGAGGTGCTACAAACAGAATGAAAAACTTAATATACCCTCCATACAATGGTGGAGGGTATTATAAAAAGTAAGAATCTCTTAGCTTCTTAAAATCGTTTTACAAGATCACAATCTTCCTAGGGATACGGAGTTAAATGCATTACTAATTCAAAGGCAATCGATATACATGTTGACAAATCGTATGTCGCATAACTCAGAATTCATAAAATCAATAAAAATGGTGCAAATGATATTTCAAAGAAATCTGAGTCACCCAATGCTTCCCCTTTAAAGGGGTGCATTGATTGTGAGTACAATACTTAACAACAACAAAGATTACGAAAAGTAAGACGTGACTTGAAATATTCTTAAACGGAAATGTGATGAAGTAGGCAGCATAAAAACCGGTTTAAAAACCAAAATAAAAAGCAAAAGTCAGAAGAATGTGTATTTAGAATTTGCAAATTTTTTTATCATATTCAGGAAAAAATTCTTATTTTGAAACAAATTTAAAATATCTGAGTGCTAAAAAAACTCACATGATATCAAGTCAATTAAGTTAGCATCTACCCGACAATAGAAACTCATATACATCATATCAAATGAATTTCATTTCACATTCACAGAACTGCTTTTTGTGTAAATCAAAACAGGTTTATAGCTAGCAAGTAATGCTGGCAGTGGACAAGGGTATTACAATTTGTTTTATTATGCCCCCGTCATATGCAATTGTAGCCAAATAACTTACATCCATTGGATGAGGGAGGAGTTGAATGGCTACTGGTAGGAATACGTAGATACATGAAATTGAATTTCTGGCAGTGTACTGTTGAAAATAGCAATACAATGGCAATTTTTAAATTATTAAATTGTTATTGTTGAGGTTAATTTAAATTACAATCACACAAACACTAACAACAAAAACACATTGATGTGAATTTTTGTTAGACCTACTTTAAGTTTTTGTTTTCACACAACAGATAACTTAAAAACCGGTTAGCCGCCATTCACAGTTCGAAAATGACGAAACTTGTGAGGTGCGACGTGCGTCGTCACAGACGCTCACAAACACCGAAAAATACAGCAAATGTTTGGAAAACAAATACCAAAACAAATGTGAAAACAGTAAAAACAAATATAGTGAAATAATAATACAAAAGTCTCAAGAGAGGAATGGAATTCCAACAATATCTAAGCGGCAATATGTTTGTAGTGTATAAAGTATTCCATCGAAGTCAATTAATTATTTCGTGATTTGCTCACAAATATCGTTATTTTGTAAGAAATGCGTTTATATTTTTGTAAATATATTGTATTTCTCCCTATCACTTCACTTTGCTGTAATCGACGAAATTGGCCTTAAAGATTACCATACATAGAAAAGAAAAACATCCCCACTGAATCAGCCAGTGGCGTAGCGTGTAAAAAAGAAGAACTTTTTGTCGTTGTAAAAACAAAGTTTATGCAATTTTATCATTCAAAATTGACAATTGTGATTTCTCCATACCTTTCTCAAAAATACAAAACAACAATAATGGGATTAAGCCTAACTTTTTTGCAACAACAAAAAAGGAAGAAAAGTATGTTTGAAAATTCGAACTCCAATTAAGGCTGTACCATTTGATCTATATTTTATCCACATTTCACACAAGTTTTTCTTAATTGCTACCTGAAAAAACACCAAGTTTATATTCAATATATCATGTTTTTAAAAGCTTCAAATTTTTGATATTTGTCTTTCTATTCAGTAGTTGGAAAATAAATAAAGAAGGAAGTGCTTCATACAACGCAATGCCAATGTAGATGTTCGATTTTCACAAAAAATAAGTCATAAAATAAAATTTTAATGTTTTGAATTTGAAGAGATCGAAGGTACCATGAAGTATATCATGTGATTCCTGGATTATACATATGTATTGATGAAATTGAAGATTTTGAAGGAAACAAGTGGGATTTTGAAATAATTTGTAATTTCTACCCGAGATTCGGTATTTTGATGATTTTAATCACATTTTCCAATGGAATTAATTGAAAATAAACACGAGGAGTTCCTTTTGAGTACGTTACCGTCTGGAAGAGAATTGTCTATATATTGTCATATAAATAAACACGAGGAGTTCCTTTTGAGTACGATATAGTATAGCCCCCTTACAACGGTATCCCCGATATTGGGTATTTTTATGATTCAATAAAATTGACTGAAAATCCACATAAGTATTTCCTTCTTAGTACTTCATCCCCTGGAAGATTATTGTCTATAAAGGTCCACGATATCGTTTATCCTCAATATTACGGTACCTCCCTATATTCGGTATTTTGATGATTTTAGCAACGTTTTTCAATGGAATTGTCTAAAAATCCATACTAGAAGTTCATTCCAAGCACGTCACTTCCTGGAAGAGATATATCTATACAGGTTCAATATATCGTATAGCCCCTATACAACAATTGTGAAAGTTTCCAAATTCGTTCCAAATGGTTAAAGTTCGACCCGGCCGAACTTACTGCTTTTTTACTTGTTGTTCATTAAAAAGCTGAAAATCTGCATGTGTTCAATACATTGAATATATCATGTGATCGTCCAAATACATAACTATTGATATATTGCCCTAATTGGGATCTATTATCTAAATAGAGCAATATCCTGATGTTTTAGCAGATGTTGACGGGTTCGACTTTGTTAATAATTGCAATGCATCCATTTATTCTATCCAATGTTGTTAGTAGTGATGGAATGATTAAAGTGGACTAACTGCACTGAGTTGCCTAGAAAATATATTTTGATATTGAGGAAAAAATTCTAATAAAACAATGCTTGAACTACGTCACGTTGCCTTCATAGCATTGAAAGAGAAACAAAATTGTGATCTCTACTCTGACTAAAACAGATGTGCACGCAATCGGTTTGAGTCAAGATTAACGTCTCACGTATTTAAGCTACGCTTTAACCACTGTTGCTTCGTCTGGGGTTTCTCTGTATTGTTATGCTACAGCAATATACAAATATAAAACTAGCTATTACATAATAAACCGGTTATTGAATTAATAAACAAATTACAAGTTTTTCTTCAGTTTTATGAAAACTTACCGACACGATGGCATTGAATATAAAGAGAACATATTTGGCAAACGTGGTTCCACAATCCATGTTGGCGTTTTTTTGATTATCTGAAAGAAAAAAAGAATATTTTTAAAATAAAAACCATTAGTAACTGTATTGGGTGAAATAAATAAAATATAAACTTTTTCCTTTTTTTATTTTGAAAATTTATTTGAAATTGTTATTTTTCTTACATTTTGAATTTATCTTAATCTATTTTCCCATCCGCAATTAACAACGTGTTATCTAACTGAGTTATAATTCGCGTCTAAGCTAGTGTTCGACACACAGACAATGAATGTTCTGAGAACAATTGTTTTATCATCGCATTGTGACAATGAGTCACATCCAGGAAATATAAATTTAAATGTCTCCCCCTATTATCTTCGTAAGTATATTTCTGTATCAAGTTTTTTTTTATATATGTTTTAATTGTTTTTTGAGCGAAGTCAAGTTATGACGAAATAAGAAAATGTAAAGATGTTGAAAAGTCCAACGTTCCGAAATCTGAAAAATTGCCATTATCTCAGAACTTTCAACACAGACGATATTAAGGCATGTATACAGTAAGGGGTTGCATTTACCAACGGAAAGACGAAATGAATTTAATAAAATAGACATGTTGAACGGCATTTGGATGCATCTTCTAGTTTAAAAGTTAAAATGTGTAAAAAAAAATTCCCTTAAGGGTTTTTATTTTCCTTTTAAATGAATCACATTTTTTTAATAAACTAAAACCACATTTCTTTAGTTTATTTCATGGCAATGTACAATAAAACATTGATTAAAACCAACAACAATAGCGTGAGTCAATGTTTGCGCTAAATAACTTCTGTCCTTAACTGTGAAGGGCAATGTCAACGCAACTGCTGACACAAATTCCGGAAAATAATATTCGTTTTGTTAAACAATACACCACTCCTAATTTCTGTTCTGTACATTTGTCCGTATTAAGGGTGACAAAGTGCGAGAAAACAAAGTGAAACGACAATAAACAAAACATGAGTAACTGGCTTCTTCTAGGTTCCCGCCAATATTATTAGGATAACATAATAAGCAGCATTTGAATAGAGTTCATGCTTATCGATGTATCTGCTTTATACATTTTATGTCTGCAGTTTGGGCGTTTGTTTGTATTGTTTATTAATCCTGCCGAAGGTTGTAACATAAGAACGCCAATGTTTAAGAAAATAACACAACAATTCTAGTTCTCCCGTTGATGAAAGTCTGATATACTATTGCCAGTTTAAATTTTGAATGAATGAAATACCGACACCAAATTTGTATTTACCACAAAATAATCGAGGCACATAAACCTTAAGCGACCCAAGGCGACTATAAATACGAATGCTTACAATATTTGTATTTCACGGAAAATAGTAATTTGATTTTCAAACTAACAATTGCCTCAGATATGTCTTTTGATATTCCAATGTCTTCAAATACCTGCTTGGGTAGTTGCCGGGTGAAGAGAGTGTAGTTGAACTGAATATGTTGGGGTATCCTTGGAAAGGATGTTTCAGTTTGATCCAAATATGGTGTGACGTGGTCTTTGTGAGAAAACATCGAAAAAGCAAAAATTCCAGTGGTAAGTGTTGGTATTACCACCAACAATGTGTCGTATATTTCGAATACACTAGACACAACTGCGGTTGTGTAGTCACAAGGTTGTCGGGATCGACGTGAAGGACCGGAATGGCATGATGTATGTAGCAATAATCGAGAAGAAATAAACAAGAAAAGTTTGATTGGTTAGCCATCCTTCCGGTGACGCTAAAGCTACATTATTGACATCCATATTGCCTTGGAAGGTCCTATAACTACTGAAAATATTGCATGTTCAAACGTTGTATTGAGGACGCCAAGGTATACATACGGTAAAATTTTCAAAATGTTCAAAGCAGCAACTTTAAAAATATAAAAAAAAAATGAATTAGGAACTTGGAACAACTCTAGTTTAGTAAAAACTCTTCGATTTTATCGAAATTTTGCCCAGAGGTTGGTATTGTTACCCTAATTCCGGGAAGCTATTTTTTTTTCTTGGGGGACGGACACGGGACCCCAGATTTTTGACCCCAAAGTGCGGGTTCAAGACCCGGCCTTGATCCGGGTCCAATTACCCGATGTCGGTATCAAAGCTTATTAAAATACCTAACCAATAAGTGGTCACATGTTGGGGTAAGTGATCAAGGTTCGGAAGTTATAGTCAAATGATCGATTTTTTGGACCCGGATTTTTTATAAAACCCCCAAAAAGTCCATAAAGGGACCATTATGAGGGGTCATCAAAATTAATGCCAAATTATAGCTGACACCCTTACCTTTTCAAAATGCTACAATTTGTGCTAACACCTTTTTCGGGTCTAGAGATATGACTCCTTCCATCCGCATAACCCGATTCTAACCAGTTCATTAACATTATGTTATGTTGTTATGCTATATCGGGTAATTGGATCCGGGTCTAGTCGGCGTCTTGAACCTGCACTTTGTGGGCAAAAATCAGGGGTCCCAGGTACGTCCCCCATGAAGAAAATAGTTTCCCGGGATCAGGGTAAAAATACCTATCACTGGAAAAAAATTGAAGAGTTTTTACAAAACAAGAGTTAAGCCAATTTTTCTTGTCTCCTAAAAATATTAGGTCATTAGGACTCTGGAAGATTGGTATGTAGATGACCGCTACGTTTCTTTACGAAGATATCTTGAAAGATATTGCTTTTTCCAATTAGAATATCAATGGCGTTGCCAATTTCCTAAATATCTGGGATGGGCTGTTAAATTCCTAATTCCACATCAAATTGTGATTCGTTTAATTGTTATAGTAACAATAACAAAAACACACTCATTGTGGACTGTATTCAACAGAAATAGCTTCCACGCAAACAAAACAAAAGCAGCTGCGATGCTCAATGTTTTAGATATGTATGTACATAAGTTTGCTGCGCAGTATTACTGTGGCATGCATATGTATGTATGTACGATTGAAGGAATTTTTACTCTATGAGACAGTTTGGTCATTAGCATGCATCGGTACGAGATTCTTGATTTGCACTCTGAACCGACACCACAAACCGACTCTGTCGGAATCTTTTATACAATGGCGATTGCCAGGTAGAAATCTAAACCGCATTAATTTTTTATGGCTATCTTATTCAATTAACAATACAGGCAGCAAGCAAACGCTGCGTGTTCTTGGGTACCTAATGTTTAATCATCAGCATCATAAACTTCCTTTAAGTGCCACACAAAAGTTCATTCAACTACTTTTATTTAATTTTAAAATTCCCACGTCTTGTCTAAAATTAACATTTTATTTTTTCCTATTTGGATCGCTTTAAATAGCACTTCTTCCATCATCACATCACTTCTCTCGTTTACTGAGAAAAAGCCTTCCGTCGTCAGTGACAAACAAAGCAATTGACACCAATCCAAATAAACAATGACACAAAGGCACTGTCTTGGAATCGGGCCAAACAAGCCCTTGTCTGAAGGCAACTTTGAAAGCTAAACAAAAAAATGTGTCCTTTTGTTTGTGTAGAGATGTGACAAATGTGACAAATAAAAGGCTCAGAAACGAACTGGACCATCGTTCCTTTTTTTATTAAATCAAATTCGAGTCTCTTTTGTTGACATTCTCCACGCCACAGTTATTTTTTGCTAAACACACAAATCACTTAATTTTTCATTAACAAAAACGACGCATTAAAACACGAAAGTTCCCCTGAATTACCTTCAAAAAGCTACTTGAGCAAATTCTCCCTTTCAAAACTTGTTGAACCGTACCGTTACAGACACTACCGCAAACAAATATGACAGCACGACCACCTTCACGCGATTTGAAATTTAGAATGAATATGTCGGGAAATATTAGGGATACCTAAGTCGACTTTCGATTAATTGACTTTGGCGAAGGGTGAAAATCGATCATTCGATTTTTTGTAATCGAATTGTTGATTTTTTGTCGACTTTTCTTTTCATACGAGTCAACAATAGCTCTGTTCCTTTAACGAACACGAAAAGTGTTAATTTTACACTATTTACAGCCATGGTAGAAGAATATAGGTAGACGCGTCGACACAGCTGCTGGGACAATGAAATGTCAAACCAATTTTGGAATTGAAAATGTTGAATGAGAAATTATTTAAATTTGTAAAAATTGTTGAAAAACGCGAATTATAATAGCCTCCGAATGACATAGTATAAGAAAACATATAAAAATCTACTTATATTTGAAAAAATATTTAAATTTTTTTGACACATCAATGCTCCCAAGCGTTGATGCATCTACCTGTATTCTTCTGCCATGATTTACAGCATTTCCCATTTCGGTAACTGAAGAAACAATGCAAATATGTATGTGTAGCGGGTTTTAAAGTTGAATTTTAAACGAATTAGTGGTTATACGACCAACATAGTCGGATATGTAGGGCCGGCACCCTGACTACGTGTGTGTGTATAACTGTTACCTGGCGTTAACGTAAGATAAAATATTTTGATTCGGAGTTGTGTTTTGCTAACACATACATAGCGTATTTTCCTTATTGTCTAGAACATTTTTCAATTACAAAAAATGCATTAAATCAAGGTAAGGCACTGATATCAACCGATATTAATTGATTATTTGCCTGGATTCACATACCAGAATAACTTGCGCATGTGTGTGTTCTTTTTAATCGTATGAAAATAAAAATGTGTATTACAACCATGGTAGAATTAAGAAAGTAAAATCATGAGATCATATGTTTACAAATTTTTCTTTCGAAACTATTCATTTGACAACACCTCATTGTCAAATGTATATTTATAAATCCATTGTACATACACAAATCAGAGATGGGAACCTTCTTTCCATGCAATGAAATTTGACAAGCTAAATTAGAGAAAATGCAAAGATGGGAATGCTTATTTGAAATGACGTTACCTTCTTAATTTTACCATGATGACAACGTATCTATGGACAAAAATGACACTATTTGTAGCGAAATATGTAAATCTGTAGTATAATTTTGAAAACAAATATAGGCCTTTCATTCAATTTCCGCATTTTTTCTTTATATATTCAAAATTAAAGTGAAAAAAGAAAGAAAAGGTTAATATCCAGCGTTTTAATATTGACACTTATAATTTTATAATTGTTCGATACATAACTAATAAGTTATTTTTCCAGCTACTTCTGTCTGAGGTTAAAGTTAAAGGTTAAGGTTAAAAATAACAAGAACAGAAGCAGCTTAAAAAACACTGTACGTACGCTTTTTATACCCTCCACCATAGTATGGAGGGTATATTAAGTTTGTCAAAATACATCAACTTTATACATTCGAATATTTTGATAGTATGGCATCTACTTATCGCAAGTTCTTTACTGCAAATTCTTTACGTGGGTTTCATCCCTGTCATTGAAGTTCTTTTGTTGCACATGTAACTCTTTTTTAATAAACGGAAATAAAACGAAAAATTTTGTGTATTATAAATCAATTGAAGAAAAAGTAAAATGAACGAGAAAAGAAGGTAAGTTCATAATTGGCTGCTTTGTTCTACGAGTTTACAGAACTTCAACTGCATTTGAAGCTATGTGTTTTATGGATGAACATAATTGTTTGTTAAAATTTATATGTCTGTAAGTTTTAACCACTTGTAAAATGTTCCAATATATCATATAGTTTAAAAAATATATCATTTAGTTTAAAAAAAGGGTTTTATTGAAAATTTTTGCATTTTGGTTACAAAAATTTTTACGACATTTACGCTTTTCTGGTTTATAATTATTAATCAAAATGTTGGCAACACTGTGTCCAGCAGTTTCTCTCTGAGAGAGTAAGATCAGGGGTGCTCAAAACCGTGTTCTAGAACATGAAGAGAAAAAAGAGATAATTTAAGAGAAAATTAAAATTCTGTTTTTCTTTATATTTTACTGTTCTATTTAATTGTTTTTAAACACGAATGTTTGCCAAAATAGTTTATAAAGCAAATGGATAAAAAATATTTGTATAAATAATGACTTAACAGTGTTTTATTCTTGACTTAAATAAGCAAAGAGAAATTTGACTGAAAACCAGGGGTGCTCAAAACCGTGTTCTAGAACATGAAGAGAAAAAAGAGATAATTTAAGAGAAAATTAAAATTCTGTTTTTCTTTATATTTTACTGTTCTATTTAATTGTTTTTAAACACGAATGTTTGCCAAAATAGTTTATAAAGCAAATGGATAAAAAATATTTGTATAAATAATGACTTAACAGTGTTTTATTCTTGACTTAAATAAGCAAAGAGAAATTTGACTGAAAACAGATATTTCTTCTTGAGCACCCCTGGTAAGATAGTTTTATCTCTCTTGCAAGAAACCTGTGAAGAGTAAACTGACGAAATCCCAGCAAGCAATCATCATTTGCCAAAACAAAACATTTTGTTCGTCATAAACAGAGATTAATCATGCAGAACTTAAAAATTAGCCGAAAAACAAGAATTAATATGTTGTTAAACAATAGAAATGTTTTTAATTTCCTTGTCCAAATATAAATCACCGGAAGGAGAAGAAGAGTTGCAAATGATTGCAAGAAGAAATTTGTCCAGCAAGAAATTGTTCACTTTCAGTGAAAGAGCTGTCAAAATTGTTCACTTGTAGAACTTTTGAGTTAACAGTCGAATTCCAGTAACAATTTGCAATAATTGTCACAAATTTTAGGGTAACCAGACACACCTTATTATATGAGGCTATAAGGCTGGAAATACATAAAGCGCATATTTGGCTGGCTTAAGACATCGGCTGGCTTCTTCGTAGATGAACAAAGGAGTTTTAGGTTGACCTAGTTCGATTTTGGCCCTAGGCTCCTTTGTTCATTTCCGAAGAAGCCAGCCGATGACTTAAGCCTGCCAAATAAGCGCTTTATGTATTCCCAGCTTAAGAGAACTTCCATGGTACGTAAAGAAGGTAGAACAGCTTTGTATAAATACTGAAATGCAGCCCTGAGGCTATGCCCGCTTCCTGTAAAATATGCATCCAACAAGTTGTTTTAATTTATTCAATATTTTTCCTCATTTTAAAATCAGTTTAACAGCGAGAAAATTAATGAAATGCCTGCATTTTCTTTGAAAAATATGATCTAAACAGTTCTTACTTTCATGGCAAAACTGGAGCATAGCATTATTGCGCGTCTCACAATTTACGCGTCTTGCAATCATTGATTTTGAAAATATTATTGTTTTTCTTTTTTTTTCAAAACAATAAATACATATACCAAACCGGCAGTAATCCGGCACACTTAGAAGAAAATTGTAATTAGCTGGTAGTTGTACCTTACTATTTTATTATACCATGAGAACTTCGACTTATATAGCCAGTTATCTGACAGCAAGGGCTGTGTGTATTATGAACTGCAAATGCCAAGCTTGGAACTATTCTATTGAAAAATGTAACTAACATCATTAAAATACCGAATAATGGGAGCTAGCGTTATATGGGGGTTATACAAAAAACATGAACCTTTAAAAGCAATTTTTTGTAAGTGGGGGTGATTTCCATTACGAACTCCAAATACCAAATTTGATATATTGAATTGGGAGTACAGTTATATGCGGACTATACTTAAACTTAGATCAATTCTTTGCAAGGATATTTCAATTTGCCAACATACAGTAAATTCTGTTCAAAACTATAACTCAAACCGCCGAAACACCCATCAAATTGACGGTATAGATATATGAGGACTATATTAAAATGTGGACTTATATGGCCCATTTTCAATACAATTTTTGGACCTTAAAAACACCTCAATTCAAACTTCATTTCGTTCGGTAGCTAGAGTTATTTCCACAGGCGGACGGACACGGCTACATCGACATCGAATCCTATGCTGATCAAGAATATATGTACTTTATGGGATCTAAAATGCTTATTTTGAGGAGTTATAAACGGAAGGACAAACATAATTGCTCTGATCCTGAACCTACCAGAATCTACTTGTTTTGCAATTTTTTTGTCGATATCATAAAGGAAAAATCGCCTATCGTTTACATTCTTGTAATTCTGAAACAGAGCAAATATACCCTCCATAATATTGGCCTGTTCCAGAACTGCAAAAATTTAAAATGTTTTTTACTATGGTATAATAGAAGGTAAAGTCATGCAATCATATGTTCACAATTTTTTCAAAATTATTCATTTGACAACATCTCATTGTCAACATTTATACTTGTAAATCCGTTATGCATACACAAATCAGAGATGGGAACCTGACAAGTTTAATTACAGAAAACGCAGAGATGGCTATGCTTATTTGAAATGACTTTACTTTCTTAATTTTACCATGCTTTTTACTAAGACAGCCGGTTTTCCCCTTATGACATCGAAAAAATTGCAAAAATTATATTTTTGAATTATTTACTCTTAACGTTTGCCCACGGTAGAGTCAAGAAGGTAAAGTCATGCTATCATATTTTTACAACTTTTTTTTCAAAATTATTTATTTGAAAACTTCTCATTGTGAAAAGGTATATTCATAAATCTATTGTATTAAAGACATAGAAGTATAAAGATAGGACAAGACAGAGTAAAATATGGCAACCCTGTGAAAAATACCTCTGTTGTTATGATATCGTAATATGTTAAGCAATTTAAACCGCTAAGGAAGTATGCAATCATTTGGGAAGGTATATGGAAAAAAAATTGAAACCAATATTTTGGATTATCCAAACTTTTACTTGTCATTCTTTCCTATAATTGAGTTTTTTTATATTAACATGCCTTTGTCATATGCTGTTATTTAAAGTAGTACAGCCACAAACCATTTGCTCAGAATGCATTTTGTCTAGTCTTTACCATTTAAGGTCTTCGAATGCATTTTGTCTAGTCTTTACC